AATCACGAAGAGTGAATGCATCTGAGCCAGGCATTGAGAATGATCATTTTAATCTATATCACCAGTTGTTTTCAACCTTTATTGGTTTTTACCATCCTTTAGGACCCCAACCAATTAGGCAACCAATCTACACCTCTCCACTTGACTGGGGTAAGCGGACTGTTGTGGATTTGACTGATTGATGAAGCCATGTTTTGGTTTGACCACCACTGGCGCTTTCCAACCTGATACTTCCTATGTCAGCTAACATTGCCCATTATTGAGGAAGGCGATCAATAGCTAGGGATGGATGCCTAAACATATGTCCTAACCATCTCTCTCAATCGATGTAACTTCACAACCTTGTCGGTCGATTTCCCCTCCTTACCTAGCACTCTATCGAATCTTAACCTCAATATATCTCACCTTACTGAAACACTTAATACCGAAGATAGAACACAGATACCTATGATGATCAAAGACAACTTACCTCCTCAATGTCTTCCACTTTCAGTGGTCAGGTCTCACAGCTATAATGAAGAACACAGAGTAATGTACATTTCTAATATTATTTTACTGAAAATAATGCACTCCGTGCTTCTTAAAAATTCAGTATTCTTGAATATATAAGTTGATATTGCTTTAAGTGTTATTTTTAATGATATTTGTTACTTTAGATATGATAGAGAAGACTTGTAGCTCAGGTGGATAATTTTGATGTGGTGTTGTGTTCTCTGAGCTGGATAGTTCATTTGCGAAACTTTTGTCGCCCTACTAGGCGACATCTTCAGCACATACTTCAATTTGAATTGAAGTGAGCTTTTAGATTTCTCCACGAGTTTATTAATCATCTCTCCTGGTGGTTGACCTTGGACGTGACTGGTTACTTTTGTATTTTCACACCTTCTAGGCAGCTACTTGTATTGGAACTGATTGTTTCTTTGACTTGAACTTTGACCCTTTTGTGTGAGGTTTCTTCCTTATCGGTTGATAAATTTTTCTATCTCGGTGTGTCTCTATTGATCGATGATTCACTAGAATATTAGGCTGGCTTCTAAAAATTCTCTATCATTCTTGTTGTTTCCTCTGTCTAATATTTGAACGTTGGTTGTCGCAGTCGAATCGATGTCCGTGGTTGCCTGCATGTAGTTATATGAGGGAGTGGATATCATGTCTTTTGATGGCTAGCTTATGTTCGTGGATACGAAAACGAAGGGACGTCCACTTTGGCGAATGTAGTGTTTTTCACAGTTGTTACAATTTATTTTGTAGATGACGTTGGTTTTATCTTCTTTCGCTGTTGAGTCTTTTGGTTGACATAGAACCAGCTGAGTCAAGTGATTTTGTTGGTTTGTGTACGATGCCAATTTCTAAAGGTTTGAAGATTCCTCTTGCAGTGATTTCTAAGATGTCCTTTATGTATGGTAGGGCAATTTTCTTTGTGCTTTCCTTGGGGGCTTTTGGTTTGTTAGGTTGGCTTGGGGGTATATATCTTTTGATGAAGTTCCGTGGATATACATTCTTTTGGAAGAAGAAGTTCATGAGATATCCTTAAGGTGGGAGTGCTGTCATGAGTCCTGACTGGCCCTCTTGAATAGTGTTTGTATGAAATTCCTTTTGTGTGTTATTGGATTGTTGTTGTTGTAATTCAGTATTTGGTCTGTGTGAGTTGATTTTCTAGAAATTGAGATATGTGCTGAAGGAAGATGTCACCTAGTGGGGCGGGGAATGAATGCTTCGCAAATCAACTATCCAACTCAGAGGAGAACACAACCACATCAAAAATTTGTTACTTTCTTTTGGCTTCGACTGTGAGGGATGTGCATTCTGTCTGTCTGGATTCAACATAGAACTTGGCACCGAAGTGCAGCAGTTCGAGTTGCCACGTTCCAAATAGCACACACAAAAGTAGACAAGAAGATGAATGGAGAGAATTAATAGAGGGAAGTGCATTAAGATAATTGAGTCACTAGCATATTCAGCTAACACGTTTTTAGGATGAATGAAGTTTATTCACCATCAATCAACTCGAACAAGTTAAGTAAATAATGAAAATTTAATTTTCGCTTACACTTACTGATAAAATTCGATCCAAATTATAATATGTCTGTTGTCTTCAGGAATTGTGCTGATATTTTTTGTTACCCTCTTAGTAACATTTTTAATGCTTCTTTTTCCGGTAACGTTCTACCCCATACCAAAACCATCTTTTGGTACTGATGTTAAATTTCGGCCTATTGCAATTACTTCTCCTTTTTTAAAATTGATGGAAAAATTACTTTTACTTCGTCTTGAACCTTCATTGAAACCTTTTAATGATCCTAAACAATTTGCATACAAACATGGTAGAAGTACCTTACGAAATCCGGTGTTCCTGAAGGTGCCGTCCTCTCTCCTTTTCTTTTTCCTTTCTTCCTACACGACCTTCCTCATTCAAACGAAACTAACTTTGTCAAATATGCAGATGATCTGACCGTATCACTGCCTATCACTTCCGATTCTGACTGCTCCAAACTTAATAGCTTTCTGTTGGACATCATCAAGTGGTCCAAGTCAAATGGTCTTATGTTAAATCCTTCCAAATGTCAGGCAGTTGACTTTACTTTCAAGCATTGACGTGACTTACATGAACTAGTTAGTTTGCATGATGCCTGTAGTATAGATGGTACGGAAATTGAAACCAAGTCAAGCATTAAATACCTTGAATTAGTTCCTTCCTCTGACCTTTCATGGTCATCCCACATCTTATCTATCTCTAAGAAAGTGTTTCGTCTTACCTTCTACATTAGAAAGTTAAACAATCAGGTATCAACCAACCTTTACTTCTGCAGTTTGTAAACTCTTGTATTTTTACCTATTATACTCTATTGCTCTCCATTAATCTTTCCTGGGTTTCTAAAAAAAAACTATATCATATCACGAAGGGTATTAAATGCTGTGAGTAGGGCTTGTGGTCTGCCACTGCGTGAGCTCACCAATAATATAGTCGAGAGACACATAAATTCATGTGCAAAATGGGCAGAGGCTGTACTGTCAGACCCTCTGCACCCCCTTTATTCACAACTATCCCCTTGTATCTCATTAGCACACCTGATATCTATGGTCGGTCTGCGAAATTTGGGCTACCGATATCCACGCTGAAAATTCCATACTTGTACCAAAAATACGGTGTGGAATCAAGCTGTAATAAAAAAAATAAATACTCGTATCACTAAGTACAGAAATTCTACAATGCCCTATTTAGCCCGTACTCTATGTGACGAAGACTCTGTTAAACGTGAAACACATAGGTTACTATGTAATTAGCACAGTGAATCGACCCTTTCATCGTTCATCTTTCTGTATTTTATGGTGTCACACTTTCTATCGTTTAATTATTACTCTGCTATTTTATTTTAGTTGGTATTACTATTATCACTACAATTTTATACTTTATGCATATTTTTCTCCGTATTGCATACAGTAATTTGTTATGTAGCTTCTATAACAACGTTTTATTATTGTCATTATGTAATGTTTATCTTTATTATACTTTTTGTCGGTTTTAAGTAAATTAGATGCAATATTGTACTGAATGCTGAAAATTCTTTGCTGTATCGTTAGTACTGTTTTTGGAACAAAGCAAATTATGATTGTCATATGATTCGTCTGACTAACTGGCTTCTAAGAATTCGCTTCTAATTCAGGCTGTACACAGTTTCTTTTGTGTGCTGTTGTAGTTATCAGAGGTTTGATTTGAACAGTTTAATTCCCCCTTCTTTATGTAACCACCATCTTGAAAGGATGAACATAAGTTGTACCAACATTATGTGTGAACCTGTCTATGTATCTCAGTAGTATTGTAACTAGGTGTTTTTTTTCTTTTCAACTACCGAGGCATCATTTCAAACCCCCTTACTGTGATAATAACCACTTACAGTTGATGATCTTATGTATTTTTGTGTGATTCAACATTCCAGTGTAGAAATGTGTGTAGACAGCACTTTTGAATTGCATTGATGATTTACTCCAACAACCCACAACTACCCATGTGTACAATGCTCTAACTAGTTTGTTTTTGTGACTCTTTTGTGTTCCAAGTCTGTCTGTTTGTCTGTTTTCGACAGAGAACTTTGCACCGATGTGCACCAGTTCAAGTCGCCACACTTCACTCCTTGTAGAACACAAGCCAACAGAAGAAAGTAGAAGAAATGCATAATAGAGACAGTAGACAGGGATATGAAACATAGGAATAGTAATAACGAAGACCAATATAGTTTCACTGGAAGTTTCATAAGTCACAAGGAGTGGAAGCGTCTTTGCCAGCCATTGTGAACGACTTTGAACCATATCAGTAATTGTTTCCAACCATTGGCTTTTACCATCACGAACACCCCAACCAGTCCGGAAGTCTACACCTTCGTACGTGACTGGCTGGCTTAAACTTACTGTCGTAGATTTCATTGACTGGTGCCATGTTTTGGTGTGATTGCCGCTAGCTCTTTTCCAGCCTGACTCTATGTCAGCTAGCATTTCCCATTGTAGAGGAAGGCGATGACTAGGCTGCCATGCGTAACACATGTCCTAACCATCTCAGCCGATGTAGGTTTACAGCCTCGTCGATTGATTTCCTTCCTTACCTAACAGTCGACCGATGCGTAACCTCAATATTTATCACCTTATTATACCACTTCACACGGGAGATAGAGCGCAGGCACTTATGACAACTAGCCTTTCCATGTCTTCTACTCTCAATGGCCAAGTCTCACAGCCATAAAGAAAGATGGCTGTTCCAAGTGGAACAACAGGACTTTGAGGTTCTTCGCTAGCCTCACACTCCCAACCTTCCCCTTAAATATAGCGTGCTTACCTACTGGCTATGTGAAGGTCAGGAGTTCACGTCAGTGACCACGAATTGAACCCATACCAAACATATACCTGGTTGGTGAGTATTCTTTATGTTTTTTTTTATTGAAATGAGTACTTATGATGACACTATGTTTGTTTTTGTCAAAATTTGTCTCTTTTTCTTATTTATTTAGATTTTCTTGACTCTATTCCTCTACCGGATGAAATCCCACCAGCAAGGCGGCGGAGTCTACAATCTCCTGCTCCTTCTACATCTTCCTTCTCGTCCACTGGCATGTCTACCTCGCCTACCGTCTCAATATCTGTTATGAATGACAATCCTGTGATGGCATTTTTTTCACCTGGTGAAATGTTACCCGCCTACCTAACTAATCGTTTGGATCGTATTCTGAATACACCTGAGAGACGAGTGGAAATTGGCCGATTAGGTGAATTATACGTATATCAAACATTATCACGTTTGATAAATTCACATCGAAACAGTAATAAGAGTGATTCTAACTGCCTTAAATTTCCTACTGGTCATCCTCTATTGGGTGAAGGACGTATAGTCAGGTGTGATTGGTTGAATTCAGAGAAAGAATCATTTAAACCGTATGATTTAGCAGTGAATGTTGAAGGTATTCCAAGTTGTTTTTTTTTGTTGTTGTTGTTGATAATTTGATGTTAATTCACTGCATAACATAGATCACGAATTGATATCAGTTTAGAGAACCATTGATCACCGCCAGGGGGAGCCTACTGAACAACTGTTTCATCTTCTTTTGAAACTCCTTATCAGCAGCACTACTCACGCATAACCACACTAGTGATCGAATCCCCAAGACCTTCCAGTTAGTAGGCCATCCCATTGATAATTCAGCTGCTAGAAACAGAACCAGATAGCTCATGAGTCCAAATTTCTGCCAATTAGCCATCTATAGTGCATAGGCAAACCAACACTTGAATAATAATATATTTTCTATAATTTGGTTTGTAAGAGTTAGTTATGTTTTTACAAGTTGATCACGCATTGGTATCAGTTAAAGAACCATTGAAAAAACAAGTTGGGAGTACTGGACTGCTAGTTTGGGAATCATCGGCAGTACGCACCCGTAAAAACATAACCTAACCCTTACAAACCAAACTATAGAAAATTAATCTGATGCTTGCTAGTGACTTGCTACAGAATGGAGTTTCCTGGAGTTCTAGCGAGAAGTCGTCATCAGTGACGACCATCCAGATGTCACGTGTGTGAGGATGGATATCCCACCGACGACAGTGGTTGGGGTCGCGCTAAATCACGAATTTGTAGAAGTTAGAATTCATGAACTGGCCATTGAATTGGGTCTCAGTGGCTGAATGGTATACGAGCCAGCTTTCCTTGTAACTGGAAGGTCCTGGGTTCGAACCCCGGTGAGAAGAGTGCGTACTGTCGATGATTCCCAAAACTAGGATGAAACATCTGTCCAGTACTCCCAGCTGGTTTTCAATGGTTCTCTAACTGATATCAACCCGTGATCGACTCGTAAAAAAATAATATGTTTATCTATTGGTTGGTGATTGTATTAGGGTTGTAATAAATGTGTATGTTTTTGCCAACCACATACGTGAGTGATCGGGTTCGGTTACCGTCTGACGCACTCCTAAACCTTGATTAACCGATAGTAAGCCCAGTAAAGAGATGAGGTTGGGTAAGACGTTAGAAACTCTACACTGTGCAAGAAACACTACTGCATTTTGGAACTTCAGAGCTGATGCCCCACCGAGAACTCCAGCAAATATGTCGATGGAAATGGAGATGGATTGAATGGACAAACATACTGAGAAGGCTGTCGAGTAACACCTCTCATCAGAACCTTGGGTATAAACTGAGTGAAGAACGACGAGTTGTCTGTGTGTGTGTGTATCTGATGGTGGTAACGTCTGTCTCTCTGGATTCAACATAGAACTTCTCACCGAAGTGCAGCAGTTACAGTTGCCACGTTCCAAATACCACACAAAGGTAGACAAGAAGATGAATGGAGAGAATCAATAGAGTTTGACGATTATAAGAGCGAAACAGAGTGGGTAATGGTAGAAAGGAATATGAAAGATTACAGAGACTAAATATGTCTGCGCCATCCACAACGATTTTGAGCCATGTCACCTATTGTCTCCAGCCATTGATTGATTCCTGGAGTCCCGAGAGCCCCAACCCAGAAGTCTGCATCTCCCTACCTGACTCAGTTTAACTGTCAAGGATTTCATGGATTGATGAGGCCATGTTTTTGTTTGGCCACCACTTACTCTTTTCCAACCTGCACCACCTATATAAGCTACTAATGCCCGTTGGGGGAGGCGATGGTTTGACATGCGCAGCACGTGACCTAGTCATCTCAATGTATGTAACTTTATAGCCTCGTCGATTGATTTTCCCTGTTTGCCCAACACTCTACGCCTAACATCAACATTACTTACCTTATTATACCACCTAACGTGAGAAAGAGATCGTAGACATCTATTATATGTGGCCTATGGTAACGTGGAGAAAATCGTGTAAAAGAGGGTGATGAAAGCCTTAAGGTAATATGGTAGAGCCAGCTAAGAACGACTACAGACGTGTAAGTGAAATGGAAATGTGTTTCGGCACAAAATGACTTATTGATTCTAAACCGTATAAGAAAAAATAAGTCAATTTCGATATATCATTGGCGACTGTATTACAGTATAATTGTGTTTTTTCACTTGTATTCTATCTTTTTGTCTTATGTACCCCTTCATATTCATTCAGTTGAATGCAATGCACATTGTTGGGATAAATTGATAAGAAATTTAAAACACGAATTAACCGCATCCATTGTTCATATAATTCGTCGCCCATCCAAAGATCAACATTCAAGTCGACATAGAAATGGCATATTATCCGTTGGTCCTATATTCATTGAAGTGAAATCCACTATTGATTCTGCTTTGCTGCATTGCTGCATGAATAATTCACCTCATGTTGACCTTTTCGAGTTATCGCTGCCTGAATGTTTGTGTGCTGTTCAACACACCTGGCGTTATCATTTATATCGTGTTGTATGGAAAAATGATTGCAATGAGAATACATCTCCAGTGATGAATTTGTTCAATTCTACACCGAGTGTTATGCATATACCAGATTTAATGGGTCAGTTGAAAAAAGGCAAACAATTGTCTAAACTTCAGTTGTGTTTAGCTATGTCACATCATAAAAACAGTGCTGGTCGTCGTGGTGGTGATAGTCATCGGGATTGATCGCTGCAGGGATGTGAGAATAGTAGTCGAACAAAATTTTAAAGAATACTGAATTCTATTTAAGACTATTTACTACTGTACTGCTGCATTTCAATCAGAGATTGTTTAAAGGAATTTATGTCTAAATATATGTGCGTATTTTTGATAGTAAAATTGTGTTTTTGATATTCTTTGTTTTCTTCACGCTGTGAAGTAGTTAAATCCTGTGGGTCATATCTATTGAAGGTGTATCGTTAATTGCGAGTGTGCAGATGTTTGGATGGTCCTGTGATTTGAAAGATTTTTTAGGTCCTACAGGAGGGCAATCGCGAGCCCGAATAGCTGTCTCAGTGGTAACGTCTCTGACTGCAGTACTCACTGGTGACACGGGTTCGAATCTCTGAAGGGACATGAGTTCCTTCGAAACCTAGGCCATGCAGGGCTTCCTTCCGATTGCCTCCAACCATCTAATATCATAAAATCAATGTGCACCGTGATGGTGAGCTACCTAGAATGGTGGCCGCATTGCAAAACCTGACTGATAGAATTCAATCTGCACCAAAGAGAGGACTAGACACGTCGCACTAGTTACTATTATCGAATCAGAATACTCACTACAGTCCTACAGGAGGTCAGTCGCGAGCCCGAATAGCTCAGTGGTAACGTCTCTGACTGCAGTACTCACTGGGTGATGCGGGTTCGAATCTCAGAAGGGACATGAGTTCCTTCAAGGTGGTTGCAGATACACCTTACTGATGAGTGCCAACTAGCACGAAACCTAGGTCCAAGGCTTCGTATGACCGATTGCCTCCAACTATCTAAAGGCTATTTTTCTCAAACTTCATACGTTTACTCTCCCCTTTATGAATTTGAATAAAGAAAGAACAATAGTTTCTGCAGATTAGTATAATAATAATGAATAAAAAACAAAACGATATTGTTTTTACTGACGTTTCGCTATTTAGTGCTAATAGCTTTATCAAAGTATTAGATATGATTTTAATCATTTATTTCGTTGACACCTCTGATCAGCCGCTTACAATTTAAATAAATTATTAAATTTATGCACTGAAAAAGCTTTAACTTACCTGCAAATTTTACATGATGTCCTCAGTTGATAGGCGGTTCCGGAATTAGTGAACAGGAGTGCTCAGAAAATTACGCTTATATAGTTCTTACATTGGGAGTTCAACTTTAAATAAAGTAAATGTATGCATACAATGGTAAAGGAGTTAAGTAATAAAGACGAGAGGTTTGTAGGATGATGGTGAGTGGTTAATAAATTAGGTAACAGTTTGCTGAGTTACCCTAACCCTAGCTCAAATCATGCAAACAAGAGACAAGCAAAATTACACTATATCAAACAGGACGGGGAAGGGGTGAGGTTAAAGCTAAAGATTACGTGATCAAATGAAAGAGAGAACAAAGACATCCAATTACCAGTTGGGCAAGTAAAGACTGATAACTGCTCCTTTGTGAACACAGAAATCGTATTTCAGAAGTTTATATATGAGGGTAATTTAACAGCTGTATTAGCTGAAGCTTACTCATTGTTGACGCCAATTTGGATCAGATTATTAAAGGTATCGAGTTGATTCCATTATGGACAAGATTTTATTTTGATAAACTGTTATACAGTAATATTAACTGATGAACACGTTTTGAGCACAAATTATTACTGCTCATATTCATATCAAGTCATTCACTCACACAAATTTTTTCCTTCATTTATATACATGTGTGGAGAAGATCTAAATGATGAAATAAAACAGTTAGAATAGGCGTTGGTGTTAAATAACTTACTCATGGAAAATTCCCATTGTAGCATATAGAAAATCAAAACAAGTGATTCAGCGAAGAGACTCTTTTCAACGAATTTATCATCAAGCTGTACAGCCGTATATATATATATATATATATATATATATATATATATATATATATATATATATATATATATATGGTTTTTAATAAGTTATATCCGGTGAGGGAATTGAATCACAGGTTTGAATGCATAAAATAATAATAATAATCATATGAAGTTCAATTAAAACTAAAATGTTTGTGATTACAATCATAGTTAAATGTCAAGTGGCAAAGCAAATTAATGTCATATATAGAATAATTCATCGGATGGATAGAACTTGAAAAAGGGTGTGCAGTTATACGATTAGTAGACAAATCGAATAAAATAAAATGAAAACGTTACGTAATATTGTGTGAAATTTGATAGCGTAGAATTTAACGTTGTAAAAAAGAATTGATTTGGAATGACAAATGGAACAAGTGAAATAATACCGGGGATAGTTCAAAGTGAGAGTAGTAATAGTAACACTTGACGTAATAAGGAAGAGATTACAAATTGAATAGACAAAATGAAAAATTGGTAGAGCTAAAATATGATTGGGGATTATCATATTTTAGCATAGAGGGTGTAAGACCATGAAAGTTGGAGGGGGATGGAACGAACCTTTTCTGCACACAGAGATCTGGCTTTTCTGTTTCGATAGCCAAAACTTCAGCAATGCAGATGAGTCGGGTACGTAGGGATTTGGGTAAATTACTGTTTGCCTTGTAGATGACTTTAAAGGCGGAGGTTATAGATACAGGGTGATCATTATCGACCAGATGTTCAGTGATCGCGCTTCTTATTGCTCCACTTCCACCTTTTCGTAATTAGCAAGCAGGATAGTGTTCTTGCACCCTCTTGGACAAAACTCGAGTCGAACGACCGATATACGTATCTCCACACGAGCAGGTGAGTTGATAAACACACAGAGTTGGTCAACAGTGGGATCTTGTCCTTCAGGTTATTGAACAATAATGGTCGGCTAGTAAAGGCTATTCTCAGAGATGCAGCAGGGAATGTTCTTTTCAGGGGCTGTGTTATCCTTCGTCTCATGATATCGGAAGCTAAGTCCCCTTTGAATTCCAAGCTCATGTAAAGTGTTTTCTTGGGAACGGTTGGTAAGTCACGTTTTTTAGGCTTTAAATGTATATTCCTAACTATAAAACGTGGTGGAAATCCATTTTCCATTAGGATTTTCCTCAAAATGTATAACTCATCTTCTACAGTATCACTGCTACATATGCGCCGAATACGAGTGGCAAGCGACCGGACCAGGTTTCGTTTTCGACAAATGGGTACCCAGCTGTAGAAATTTGTCAGTTGACCATTCCATAACAGCTTACGATAAATCGATCTCTTCAGATTTCCATCGGTCCTTCTTGATAAGTTCACATTGAGGAGATGAATGCTAGACTCGTTCTCCATTTCGAGTGTGAATTTTATCGCAGGTTGGCACTCATTAAATACACTTAATATATTATTCAGGTTACAATCAATATTGCAAATAATAAAAGGTGTCATCTACATACCTTTTACACATTTGAAAGCTTTGGATTATAGGCTTCAGGGGACCATTTTCTATACTGGACATAAAAAAAGTCTGCAAGGAGAGGACCCAAGGGAGAACCCATCCTATGAAATTCATTAGGAATATCGAAAAAGGCCAAAAGCAAAATAAAAATAATTGTGAAACTAGTAATGATAATATAAATAAGGGGGAATATGAGTCATCTACTGTTATACCATATAAGGAGGGGACATCTGAGAACCTCACCACGTAGGATTCTTATTAAAGCAGGAATTTGGGTGATGGCATTCAAACCTTCAAACTCACTCAGAGACAAGCTCTTTAGGCTACAAGACCCGGGGGACCCAATTAGACAAAATAATATAATTTACAAAATACCCTGCAATGACTGCGAGTTAAGTCAACTATATAGGTCAAACTAGTAGATCGGGGGTAATCAGATTGTCAGAACATAAGAATTTAGCTAAGGTAAGAATGGTTGACCCCACTCGTGAAGATAAGTAATTTAGGAAAAGGCTCACCTATTGCAGTACATGCATTAACACAAAACCACACAACAGCATGGTGGGAGAGGGTTAAAATTCGAAGAAGTAATCCATGTAGGTGGAGAGTGAGAGAGATTGATTACTGAATCCTGACTGGTTCATCGAGTCTATACCCAACCCAACAAATGCAACAGAAATGACTCAATGCAAATACCATAGATATGCATGGAAGATATTATTACCACCAGTCAGTCAGATCGAAGGAGGATAATTAATAACCTTAAAGTTCTGTTTCAATTCAAGCACATCACAACATTCTAACAAGTTGCTTATTTATTTTGACTCTAAAAACACTCGTCTTATTTACCATTTGATTGTAATTGGTCAATAACACTCATATTTTTATTCCAATATCTGGTCAATTCCAGTCAAGTATAAAAATGAAGGAAAAGTTGTGTGAGTGAGTGACTTGATATTATTATGACTGGCAATAGTTTGTGCTCGAAAGGTGGTCATCAGTTAATATTACTGTGTAACACTGTGATTTATCGAAATAAAATCTTATCCATAATGGAGTTATACTCTACCAGAACAGTGGCCAAGTTTTATACTTATATCGAGTTAATCCCCTTAAAAATAATCATTCAGTACAATTTACCGAAGTGAAAAACGAAACGTCTGCTGAAGACACTAGTGTTAAGAGAGTAGACATTAGATTACTGAATTTCATCCATTAATAGTTGCTTTTTGTAGATAACACGGGTGCAAGAAGGACCTTATCAACGGACGCATTTCTTACACCAGTATGTCAAAGAATTAACAGAATGACTCAAGATTTTCACTTTTCACCATTACTAACTCTTTTTACCGACCTACTCCCTACATATTTCAGCTACAGTTGCTTGAAAAGAAGGGCAATGGGTCGATGTAGCTTCAAAACCGCCTCGATTGACTTACCCTGTTCGTCTAGCAGTTTATGCGTAACCAAAATATTACTCACCATATTATATCACTTAGCAGGGGAGATGGATGGTTGTATGGCTAACTGATAAAAGTTGAAATCGACAATAATTATAATAATAATACGAAGAAGAGGAACTTTATTCTGAAAAATGTTTCAGTATATATTACAGAATTTTCATTATATTCTGCTGCAACGCAATTCCTTCTTGTGTTGAATCTTGAAGGGAATGTATAACTGAGTATATATATCATTTAAGGAATATTGTTCTGCCCGAAGCATGCTTTAATAATAGGTGGTTGTCTTGAGGAGCCATCCTCTGCCACCAAACAGCGACAGGCGCTACGTTT